CATGGAGTTGAAACTGACCCATAGCTGACCCTCCAGCTTTTCAGAGAAAGTAAATTGCACTGAAGGAGATTGTCTATCCTTCTCTTGTGGAGCAGCTGGTGGATTTGAACCTCATACCTTTGGAATTGCACTGCAGATTCTTACCACTAGGCCACAAGAGCTCCATCCTAAAATATGTGTCAGTTCAAACTCAATATTTAATGTTTGGAGAAATTTGGACTATTACATACATAAACATTAGTTCATTTGTTGCATAAGTAGTAAGTAAATGTTTTTAATGTTAGTTAGCTTCATGCCCTGCCCCATTCTGTGGCACCTTTGTGCTTGTGGGTATGTTAGAGTCCATTATTGTGGCAACCTATGTCACTGAGAGTTTTCTTCATTTTTACTGACCCTATTTTGCTAAACATGATGTCATTTTCATGATGTCATTAATTGTTCTCTATGGCATGTTCAAATGTCCAAATCTCTCCATTCTCGCTTCTAAGGAACATTCTATTTATGTTTCTTAGTTTCTGAAAAGGAAGGCAGCTTGAAGCCCTTGCCAAAAAGTTAGATTACAACCTTCGATATGGATTATACATTGTTGTTATTGTTGTTGCTACATTCCAACAAGTCACTTACACAGGAACCCTGTGTACAATAGCCCTGAAACCTGCTCTATCCTGTGCCAACCTCATTGTCTCTGTCGTATCTACCCTCATTACTCCAGTCACTGAATCCATCCATCTCATCGAGGGTCTTCCTCTCCTGCGCTGTCGCTCCGCCCTCCCAAGCATGACATCCCTCTCCAAGGACCAGTCCCTCCTTGCAACGTTCTCAAAGTATGTCAGATGAAGCTTAAAAATCCTCATGACTAGCCCATCCTGTCATGTACCATCAATAAAGTACACTGTACTCAGCCAAAAAAAAAATCCTCATGACTGGACCAGTAAACAATACCATGACAAGTTGAGAAGAAACTGGACTTGTCAATAATTACTTTCTTTTAAAAAAAACATGTAAAATATTTATTATGTTTTCAGTGAAAGTTTATATAGCAGATTAAATTCACTTTGGACAATCGTGGATAAAACAAAAAACAGATCTTCCTGAGGGATTGTGTGTGCACACCGACAAATTTGAGAGTAAGAGTTAGTGACGGAAGGGAGCTCTGGTGGCCTAGTGGCAAGACGCGGCACTGCAATCCCAGAGGTGCGCGGTTCAAATCCACCAGATGCTCTACTGGAGAAGGAGGGGGCAATCTCCTCCTGTACCAGTCAGATCTGATTTGACGGTACACGTAAAAATAATACAACAAAAAATTTAAAAAAATTTTTTAAAAAAAGAGTTAGTGACGGTCTCCTAAATTGTGCTCACAGGGCTTTTAACAGTCAAAAGGGATGGGCACTAGGTGAGAGGAGGAAGGCGATGGGAACAGCATTCCCACCAAACAATAACATGAATGGTAGTCATCTGGTCTACAAAGAAGGTGAAAACAGAACCAGACTACTGGTCTTCAGGTGACATAAATGGATGGAAGGAAGTGGATTTGTCTGCAGGACTCCAGGCTTATTATATCCCAGATTACCAGGCCTCTTCCTATTAGGAAGCTCTCGTGACCTAGTGGTAAGGAGTTGTGTTGCCAACTCCAAAGGAACACCGTTCAAATCCAGCAGCTGCTCCTCAGTAGAAAGATGCATAATATCCTCCCTTGCAATTTACTGCCTCTGAAAACACGGTGGAGGTTTAGCTATGGATTGGCTTCAACTTGAAGGTATATGACAAGCAACTTCCTATTTTTTGCAACAACTAAGTCGAAGATCTCTCTAACAAGGCTGCCTACAACTATCCAAGGACCCTCAAGTATTGTAGCACCAGCTCTGGTGAACTATTAACATTGACCACAGGACTACCTTGACTCCCACTGCTCAGTGTTACCTCTGTGCAACCCTCAGCTCGCTTCCATCTCCGGGCATCAGTATCTCCTCTGTTCAGGGGCCCATCAGGGCTTACCCAGGAGAATTGTCATGATGGTTAGCTAGAAGCGTATCTATGAAAGTACCTCAGCCAGTGTCATGTACATTACATCAAGAAGACAAAGACTCTCACCACCAGACCATGATAAATGGAGAAGAGATTGCGATTATTAACAACTCTGGCTTTCTTGGCTCCACAATCAAAACTCTTGGCACCAGCAGCCAGGAAATAAAAAAATTAATTGCATTAGGAAAATCTACTGTCAAGTACCTTTCCAAAGTGCTAAAAAACAATAATGTCAATTTGGCAACTAAGGTGTGCCTGATCCAAGTCGTGATCTCTACAATTGATTACTATGCTTCGGAGAGCATATGACTAAGAGAGCAATGACCAAGGATGACAGAAGAAGAATTGATGCCTGTGAGTTGCAGTGCTGGAGATGAATATTGAACATACCGTGGACCGCCAAGAAAACAAATAAGTTTGTCCTGGAGAGGGTGAAACCAAGTTGTTCCTTGGAGGCAAGAATTTTGGAGCTCTGTCTCACAAACTTTGGACATGTTGCCAGGAGGGACCAATCCTCGGAGAAGGACATCATGCTTGGAAAGGTGAAGGACAGCACAAGACTGGAAGATCCTCGAAGAGATGGATTGACATGGTAACTAGGGTAATAGGGATGGGGTGTCAGAGACAAAAAGTTTAGCTCAGGATAAGACAGGATTCAGAGCTATTGTGCATGCGGTCACTCTGAACAGCACCTAACAACAACAATAGTAAAAATTAAGTGGGTTTTGGGTTTGGATTTTTGATTGCATATTGTTCTTGAACACTGTATGGATGGCTAGTGAAAAAAATTTGGGTTTTGAGTTATTATCACATATTAATGGTGTACATACAACACTTAGGTTAACTGTATGATCTCTCTGTGCCTCAATTTCTTCATCAGTAAAACTGAGAAGATTTTATGTTGCCTTTCATCACAGATTGTTGTTGGTTTTGTTGTTGTTGTGTTTCATCAATCTGATTTTTTACTCAGTGCCACCTGATGTGACAGAGCAGAGCCATCTCATAGTCAGGTTTTCTTTTACGAAACTGCCAGGTAAGTTTACATTTCCAGCCTTTCGCTAGAGCCAAGCACACCTCCACTTTTCCTCTCAAATAGTGAGTTAAATGTGTAGGATTCTATGAGGTGAGTGCCTTTGTGAGGTGTGTAATGAAATGCCAGTGAGGCCCAGGAAAGGCCGTAACAGATCCCTGTATCACGATTAGACTCTGAGTGCAGCTCAGAAATGGGTTGAAAGAAGAGAGAAAATGGGGAAGCTCAACTAAAAGACAAAGAAAGAATTCATCCATCTTTTAGTGATTACTGATTACTGATTGTCTGCCATGGGCCAGACACTGGTATCACTAAAATAAAACAATGTCCTATGTCATTTACACTCTACAAATGTAGGGGAAAGAGAAGGAAGTACAGACACAGATTTTAATAGTGAAATAAGAGTTAGTTCTTGAGAGAAGCCACTACTTCTCTGTCTGTTTGCTTTACTGTCATAGTCTGTATGCTGCTATAATACTAGAAGCTGTGACATTAGTATTTCAAATATCAGTAGAGTTCTTTATGATGGACCGGAAGACTAAAACTAGGGGGAAAGACCTGACACTACTTCTAAATACTAGCCAGTGAAAATGAAGAAACATATGGCTGCTACTGGGCCATGTGCTTCCTAGGTGGCACAGCACTCAAAACAGAGAGGCAGCAGCCATGGAGCTGGGCCAGACAATAAGTGAAGATAGTCATGGAATCATCTCCAGCACTCGTGTTTTGCCTCCTCCTGCTTCCTTTCCTCCAGAGAGCCCAGTTCCTGGAACCTGGGGTGTTCCACAGGCTGTGGGGAGGATGCACTCACCTGAACTAGGCACGCCTGGAACAGAGAATAAGGACTGTTGCCAAAGATGGGTCTTTCTGGAAACAGCACCTCCAGCAGGTTCCCACCAACTCCCATGTGTACTTTGCTAGTGACCTTCCTCTCTCCCTCTAACTTCAGTACAAGGATGCACAGCTCCTGGGAAAGTCAAAGGGAGGGCAGTGGTGAGCCCACAGTGTGACTAAAGCAAGAGAACGCATCATCCCTCGGGAATAAAAGCATCAAACGCCTCTGCAGGTGGGCTTGTTGGCTCCAACATTTTTTCTTTCCCTTTTCCTTCTCCCTTTCTTTTCTTCCTTTATCAAGGTCCACTATTTGTTCGGTAAATGTTCAAAGACTGCGATTCTCAGGGCCACAATGTGCCAAATGATGTGTGTAAGGGAGGAGACCCACTTTTAAGAAGCTTAACATTTAGGGAGGAGAGAAGTGTCAACAGCATGGTTTTCTCTGACTATGTCTCTGGGAACTGGAAGGTGTTCAGCTGGTGCCAACGCCCTGGACACGTCCCTCCTCCAACCACAGGCCATCTTGATTAGTCCCACTCCTCTCCTCCCTTTGTCAGATTTCAGGAAAGTTCTAGGCTCAGCTCTCGCACCCACTGGGCCAGGGTGAGACTAGGAAGCTCCACCCTCAGACGCCTGGACTTTGATCTTTTGCAAAGGACAGGGAAGTGATAGTGGAGCCTCTGGATAAGGGGACCAAAGAAGGACTCAGGATGGATGTTGTTGTTGTTGTTAGGTGCCATTGAGTTGACTATCACTCACAGTGACCCTGTGAGCAACAGATCTGCACCTTGACCTGTCCTGCACCGTCATTCAGGATATTGCTCCAACCACTGCATCAATCCATCTCATTGAGAGTCTTCCTCTTGCTGACCCTCCACCCTTGTGAGCAAGATGTCCTTTTCCAAGGACAAGATGTTCTTCAGTGTATGGTCAGGGGAGGGAAAGAAAGACACTGAGAAAAGCAACATTCCACAACTGCTTGTATTTTATTGTTGCTCAGCAAAGGGGGACAAGGGAGGAACAGAGAAGCGGGGGTAACACTGGGAGACAGGGTTCCTGAATCTTGCTTCAGGTGGCACTGGAAGGGCAGGGGTCAAGACTCCTAACTCCACTATGTCCTGGGGTACTGGGAACTGGGGAGGCCAGCTGGGATGCTCCAAGAAGAGCCAGAGGGATGGCCAGTTCTGGGGGGGATTTGGTTAGTGGCTCCTGGGGGTAGATGACTGCTCCCCCAGGAAGCCCCTGGATACCGATTGGCATTGCCCCAGCTTCCCCATGGATACTGATTGGCATTGCCCCAGCTGCCCCATGGAAACCGATTGGCATTGCCCCAGCTGCCCCCTGGATATCGATTGGGATTGCCCCAACTTGTACCTGGGTATTGATTATTGGCACCCCAGATTCCCGCCTGGGGGAGTGGCATGGGCCTTGTTCCCCAGCCTGTGCCAAAACGCCCACCTCCCCAGGACGCGCCGGGATTCAGGATCTCCCAGGGGTGACCAGGCTGAAGTGGATGACGGAGTTTATTGATGAGAGACCAGGGTGGACGCTGACCAACGACTCCCCCCAGGGCTCCCAGGAGATTAGAGCAACGTGGCTTTCTGGGTTCAGAGTCCTGGGGGAGGAGGGATGCTTCTGGAGAGGCACCTGCAGAGTACGCCGCAGAGACTTCAGGCAAAGGGCTACTGTTCAGAGGGGTGGCAACATCCTCAGTAAAGTAAGGCGGTCCTTCCAGCAGCATGTCCTCTGGATAATCCTCAACCACAGGAGCCATCCCTGGCCAAGGACCCTCAGGGGGCCAGGTGTTCACAGAGGGCAACCCCTGGGATAAGGGCAAATTCTGCACCCTAGGACCTCCTGCAGCTTGAGAAGCATCAGAGGGAGACACCTTAGCCCTTAAAGAACTCCTTGCTAAGCCATTAGATCCAGCATTTGATTTGGGCTGAGCATTTTCAGAGTCAGAAGACCTGGCCAACGAAGGCTGTCCAACCAGAGGCAAGTTGGTACCCACGTCTTGGGGACCTTTCTCCTCCAGTTCACTGATGCTTCGAGCAAGGAAACCTGAGAGAAAGGGAAGATAAAGTAGACAGTGGCCTCTGCTGTTAGCCCCATTGCCCTGCCTTCTCGAGTTCCCTGGTTCCCATCCCTAGCCTCCTCCAGCTCTTACTTCCCTTGAGATCCAAGTGTGCATCCCTCCGGCCTGTATCTTTGCCCTTTATTCTAATTCTCCCAGGAGCCCCAGTCCCCTCCCCTGGGAACCCCAGTAACCTCATGCTCAAGAGTTGAGTACCACCTTCATACCTGGGAAATGAAGACAGACCAGGAGCAAGGCCAGCAGAGCCCAACTCCCTGTCACTCGTCCCTGCATCGTGCTCTGCTCTAGCATCTCCCTGAGCCCCAGGACGGACGGCCCTTTATCCTGCTCCTGGGGCGGGGGACATCAAAAACAGGCTGGGCTAGTGGTTTAGAGACAATAAATCGCCACATTCCACTCTCCTTTCTAATTCAGTCTGTGGCAACAGATGCCACTTGAACAGAGGAAGATGGGTGGCTCCCCACCCTGGGAGACTTTCCTTTAGCTTCCAACCCCTTCTTGATCCAGGTATTTTTGGCTCACAGCTCATCACAGGTGGACACCTCTACTGATCCCTTATTCTCTACATCAAGCACAGGAGGACCATCCTCTTTTGGGGTCCCAAGCACTTTGAAGCATCTTCTCCACAATAGAAACATCTAATTCTTTTCTCTCTCCTTGATCTTTCTCCAAATCCTCCCCACTCTCACTCTCCACAAGGACCTTTATGTAAAGCATCCTTCTAGCTCTTTCACCTTGATCCTGGTAACTGAGCTCCTGTAGGAAGACAGATCTGGCTTCCAACCTCAAGAGATGACAGTTTATTCATTTTTTTATCTCTGTTTTAACAAATGATCACAGACTTAATCGTTTCAAACAACACCAGTTATGTTCCTGGAGATTAGAAGTCCAAAATGGGTCACACTGAGTGTCATCTATTGAATTGTGTCCCCCAAAGGTGTGTGTCTGAGCTGATGTAATGTGGAAGTTACTTAATGATCCTCTGTCACTCACCTGTGATGCCAAATAGTGGTAAAGGGATTAAGGGTGGGATGGAACACCCTTAATCGTGTTACATAGCCAGGATCTGACATAGAATCTCCCTGAGTTATGGCCTACAACACCTTTTCTTTCACAAGCAATAAAAGGGAAGAAAACCGAGCGAGGTTGGGGGAACTCACCAGGGAAGAAGTGTTAGGAGGAGAGCATATCTTTTGGGCCTAGAATCTTATACAAGGAAATTTCTAGAACCAAAAGATAAAAAGAGATAGCCTTCCTCTGTATTTGGACTTCTAGCCTCTTAAACCATGGGGAAATGAATTTCTGTTTACTAAAGCCATCTGTTTGTGGTATCTCTGTTATAGAATACTAGAAAACCAAAACATTGATTTGAACGTTAAGATGTTGGTGGTACTGCATTTCTCTCTGAAGACTCACAGGGAGAATTCATTTCTTTGCCGGAGGAAGATTCTCAATGAGATGGATTGTCACAGTGACTGTAACAACATGCTTGAGTGTGTCAGAGATGGTGAGGATGGCTAGGACAGGGCAACATTCAGATCTGTTGTTCATAGGGTTGCCATGAGCTGTAATCAGTGCAATGGTACATGACAATAACAACAATAACAACAACCAACTGCCTGGGCTCAAAGCACCTTCCTCCATCTTCAAAGGCAGCAATAGCAGGCCAAGATTTTCTCACTTTGTTTTACTCTGACTTCCTTCCCCCCACACCTAAGTTTGTCTAAGCTTGCACTAGTAGCTTGAAATCTGCCCTAGGGTGTCGAAAAGATCAAAGAAAGAGGCTGCCCAACTCTGGGATGGGAATGCAAGAGTTTTATTAAGGGGTTACTGAGGTAATGCCCAGGGCGACAACAGGACTAGACTTGAATCACATACCCCACAGAGGAAGGCAAGGACATTTACAGCTCTGGCAAGCCAAGGTGGGATGGTGCCAGGTTCCCAGACCCCCCCAGGCCACCCTAGCAAGTGTGCATTGGGTCCACTAAAATAATTCAGGAAAATGTCTTTATTCAAGTCAATTGATAAACAAACTCCATCTGCAACCTTAATATCTCTTTGCCTTGTAGCCTAAATAATACAGGTTCCAAAGATCAGAATGTGGATATCTTTGGAGAGAGCAGCATTCTGCCTATGACAGAAGACTACATGTATTCATAAGCAGATGTTTTCAACTAACAATAAAGGTCTCTCTCTTACTGTTTAAATTGGAATTCACTCACAGTTGACCCTCCAGCAGGTTTTCAGAGGCTGGAGAGAGATTGACACCGGAGGAGAATGACCATCTTTCTCCTGAGAAGCAGTTAGTGGATTTGATAAACCTACTTTGGATTGGCAGTGCAACTCTTTACCCACTAGGCCACTCGAGCCCACCTAACAGTTGTTGTTGTTGTTGAGTGTGATCAAGTTGAGTGAGTAAATAAAGGAGACTCAATGAACAACAGATCTTAACGCTTGTACTATCTAGTGTCATCCTCATCATCTCTGACACATTCAAGCTTATTGTTACAGTAACTGTATCAATCCATCTCTTAAGGCTCTTCCTCTCCTTTCCCATCCTTCCACCTTTCCAAGCATGATGTCCTTCTCCAATGAATAGCCTCTGCTAGCAACATACCCAAAATGTGTAAGATGAAGTGTTGCATCCAAAATATAT